AAAAATTTATTAGTTCTCTATTTTGTTAGTATAAAATTAAAATAATATCATTGTAATATTATATAATATTATAAATTTATAATTATAATATAAAATAATAAAAAAAATAAAATTTTATAAAATTAAAATTTAAAACTAATAATATAACATGTTCACTTTATTAACTCATTAATAACATGATTTATATTATATTATTGATTTTAAGTTTTAATTCCCTCTATCATTACCTTATGATGTATCATTATATTTCATTTAACAATTTATATATAATATTATATATATATTTAATAATAAACTATAATCATAAACTTACACGATCATCAATATAAAATGTTTTATTGTTGGCAAAACCATAAATTAAGCCCCTATACTTTAATTGATGCAGTTAAACCCTTGAACTTTGGGATCAAAGCAATTAAGCCCTTCTTCTTACGCCATTAAGCCCCTAGGCTTTAATTTTTAAAATAAATTGCTTAAGAAGAAGGGCTTAATTGCTTTGATCCCAGAGTTTAAGGGCGTAACTGCATCAATTAAAGTCTAGGGGCTTAATAGCGATTCTGGGGTTAGTTCAGGGGCTTAACTTATGGTTTTGCCTTTATTGTTTCTTAACACGTGAGGTAGGCTTATCTAATCTTTATGATTTATTCTATAATTAGAATAATTTGATACGGATAAGATAGTTGCATTGTTCCAAAAGCTTGTGCCATATGAAAGTTCCAGCATCTACCCTTTAGGACCCGCATGCTTATAGAGCAATGAAAGTATTATATAAAATGTTAAAAATTATTATGGTCAAAGTTGAAAAGTTTTTATAAAGAAATTTTATTAATTTTTTATTGAGTTATTAATTTTTTTTATATTTAGTAAAAATTTAGTAAAATTATCAAATAAGTCTCAAATTAAGAAAGTTCATTGAAAGGTTTTTTTTGCTTCCAAAAATATAAGAAGAAAATGTTATTTACTAAAAATTATGTTAAGAAAAATATCAATTAGAATATCAATCTTATTATTGATTTATTGTGGTATTGAAGTGTGAAAATTTTAAAATAGCCGTAGACTTTCTTTCGAAAGGGGGTAAACTTTTTTTCCATGCCAAAATGCCTATGGTGTTTGTGTGACTTGGGGTGAGATTAGGATTGTTGTGAAATGAAACCATAAAAACTATATAAGTGTTTGATAATTATGTTGAAACGTATTATCGATTTACTCTTTGAGTTAAATTTTAGTTGTCATATTTTTTAAATTGGGTGGTCAAAAATATTAATTGTCTACTTTTTCATTTTAAGTTATTATTTAATTTCCTTTACTCATATTTGCCTTTATTTTAAGAAAACAATTATAACATAAAATGTTTATTTAATTAGTAATTAATTAAGAATAAATATAACATTATCAATTAATTATTAGATTCCTAACTTATTAAAAAAATAAGCCAAATAAAATTGAATAGAGAAAGTATATGATTACTAAAATATATCACTTTTGTCTTATAATAATTGTCTTTTTTAACTTAAAATTTATCCAAAAACTAATTGTAATTTTTATTTTTTAAGGTAGATTTTTTTTTCTAATTTACCTATTTTTATCCATTAATTTTAATTATCCACCATATTACCAAAATTTTCTATTTATCTTAATTTTTTTTTATTAAAGGCAATAAATGTTAAAAAAAATACAAAGTATATTAAATAAGATCAAGGGTAAACCATACAAATGTTGATAAACTAATAGATTGAATCTACTAATAAATAAGTGGTTTTATAAGTAAAGTTTAAAGTTTAAGTTTTAAAACTAGCACATAAAAAAATTAATTTCTTTGAATATTGTACGCTAAGATTGCTTGAAAATATATTAATCTCAATACATAGAAAAACCACCAATAAACACATTGCTCATAAATACTAAAATAAAAAAAATTTATACCTTTAACATAATTTTTAATTTAGTCACTCTCTTACTAAATAGGAAAATGATTTTTATACAACCTTTTTTATTTCACTTTTTTGTATCACCTGACAGCTTGTCATTTAAATGATTGGTTCTTTTAATTTATATGAGACTCGTGATATGGAATGCATTTACTCATTTAATGATATGTGAAAATTATATCAAAAAATTATATAAAAAAATTGTCCCTATAATACCACCTTACTAAATGTATAAAATTAATCATTCACTTATATTGTAATATTCTCTTTTAATCACTCTCGGAATACTGTTAAGTGATGACATGGCATGGGAAAAAAATTGATGAGTTTGCATGTGAAAACAAATCAATGTAATACTCAATAGTCATTTTTTTGTCAAATTTTTTTCAAAATTAATTATTATTATTTTTTATCTTAACTCTATTATTTGTTATCCTTTAACTTTAGGTATGTCCACCTATCACCAAAATGCTCTCTTTAGCTTAATATTTTTGTATTAGGAGTAATGTAACTAAAATCATAATTTGTCTACAAATTATTTTGTAATTTTTTTACTGCAAAAACATTCTTTGAATCAAATAACATTTCATAAATATATGGATAAAAAACTCTCCGGTAGCTAAGGTTAGGCGCCACATGGGAGACCAACCCCTCATATTGCTCGTGTGGGGAATCTACCACAGTTTCTCTTCCTGGTTTTAGCGGTGAGGATCTGAGGTTGAGAACTATTGAACCGTGGGGGAAGAAGGGATTATTAATCAATTTATGGATCCCTATCGGGTTGCTTTTGCATCGTGGGGGAGGAGGGTTTTCCACTTAATTGCTGGCTCCCTTGGGTTGCTATTGAGTTGGTGGATGAAGGCGATGGTTGGGGTTCGTGCAAGGGAAGTGGAAGTTGCTGGTGGCATAAGGGCTTGGGGAGAGTAGGCGGCAAAGGGGAAAGTAGAAGCTACAGGAAAATTGGAAGGGTTTATGGGGGAGGCAGTTGCTACGGACGAAGCGGGGAACACATGGTGGGAAGTTACTGGCAATGGGTAACACAGTTGGTGATGTTGGTAGGCGGCGGATGTTGTACGCATGTAGTCAGATAAGGGTTGTGGCGGGCTGTGGCAATACCTCCATTTGAGGCTGTTGTAACGAGGAAGGGGATAGTAATACTGGTTAATGAAGCTGGAAGGAGGAAAGTGGTGGTAGGTGCCGAGGGTCCAACTTCCTTTTGGCTCGATGGCAGGTCTAATTTGGACTTCCTTCTGGGCTAAAATTTGCTATTAGGCCTAAGCTGCTATAGTGTTATGTGTGCCATAGCAGTGTAACTAATGCCCAAAAGACAGCATGATACTCAAGTTTTCACAAACAATTAATAAAAATTCTTTTATTTATGAGTTATACAATAAAAAGTTAAAATTCCTCTCTTGCATATCTCTTTCAGTTCATCAAAAATCACAAAAGTTTAAACTGGATTTCTTTAGGATTACATGCTCTATCATCAAAAGGGCCACCATAACTATCCTTCTTTGAAAATGCATGGTCTTTGTTAAAAGAACAAGCGCAGATTTGACTAACTCTAAAGGAAGCCCTGAAAACCTTTTGGCAGGTGCCCCAAGGTTTCAGAGTTGTTACCAAAACAGAGGAATTCGGAACTTCTTACCAGTAAGAAGCAGCTGCCTTTCTCAAAATAAAATTGAATGCCATAAAAGATCATCAGTTCAGAGAATTGAGACAATCTATCTGTCACTCAACACATTGTTCTCCAATTCCCTCATCCAACCCAAACCCCCACCTCCACATTTTTTAGCATAAAATACATGGTAGGTAGGTCCAAGGCTCTAAAAATTAGCTCTGTTAAAAATGTTTGAGCCAAAAGGGGAAATGGGTGTCTCGATTTTTCCATAAAGAGCAACAGGGGACCAAAAACTTTGTTTTAGTGATGATTTCTGAAACCATGTTTGGGGTTTCTTAATTGAAGACATGGAATTAGGACAAACCATTTTCTATTCAGTTCATTGAACAAGAGATTTCTTTGGAAAAATTTATCCATGTTCAGATGAAGTTGGGTGGCTTTTAACGTCATTGGATCATTATCAAAGAACTGACATTAGGCCGTCCTTGTGTGCCTAATTCACTGGTATGGAGAGGAAATGGAAAAGTGGGGAAAAGGTAAAATATCTTCTCTTGCAAGGCTGTTTGCCAGATTCTGTAGATTATATAAGATGTTAGGTTTTCAAACTAAGCCACCTAATTGCCTCCAAAATGGTTGTTTTAATTGATGGTAATATGCAATGCTATAATTACAACATCATATAGAATTGTAAGTTTATAATATTGAATAAGTAAATGCAAATAATATTATGTTAGTCCCTTGAATAGTAAAAAGCAATTATATAATGATACATTATAATTGAAAATTTACAATGTCATATAGAATTATAATTATATTATTTTTGATAATGATACAAAAGAGGGCCCAAAAAAATAATAATAGAAATTTCAAGTTAAAATCTGAAAAATAATTATATGAGATTTAAAAAAAAAAATAATTGTCTCTTAGTGTAAAGTATATTATCAAAGGGTGGAATCTATTAGGCTCCTAAAAAATTTAGAAAAGAGAAAAAAAGACTTGTTATGAGAAAAAAAGAAAAAAAGACTTGTTATGAGAAAAAAAGAAAAAGGCTAAAGACCCTACTCTGGATTGTTTAATAAGAAAAAAAATGTTAACGTTAAGATTGTTGGAAAAAAGAAAAAAGAAAAAAAAAAGAAAAACTTCGCTGAATCTCTTCTTAATTCTACTCTAAAAATCTCTTCTTAATTCTACTCTAAAATGTATTAAAAGTAATTTGCGACCTTATTAGGAAATAATGAGAAAGAAGAGTTTTGCACCTGCAAACGTACTTTATTAATTGAAGCCTGCACTTCCGCTTTATTAGGTATAGAAAGATATACTGTCTTAAGGAAACAAGTTCGTGTATATACGTTCAAGATCTATAAGCATTTGGCGAAAAAAAAAAAATTGCATCTTTATATGTAGCTTCATAATCTAAGTCCTCAAAAAGAAGGTAAAAAAGTATAACCAATTTTATTTTTATTCAATTGCTTTCAAGATATGATATAAAAAAATTCTTTTTCCTTTTTTCAGTGTTTCCGTCACATAATAATACACTCTTTTTTTTTTTCTAACTTTATTTACATATTAAAAATTTTTGCACAATTTTAAAATGGCCTTAAAGAATAGATAAGAATTCAAAGAGAATTTTGGTGATAAGATAGAAAATTAAATTTAAGGAATAAAATAAGGATAAAGTGCAAAAAGATAATTGAGAATAACATTTTATACAATAATATGTTTAATTTGACAAAAATAAAAGAAATATAATTTTTTTGCTAATCGAATTACAATATTTAAAAAACATTATTATTGAATTGATTAAAAAACTCACCCCTCCTATCCCGCAAACATAGTAGTAGTCAAACAAATGAATATTATTACATAATGCAAGGAGTAATGTATACTCTCTCCATTCAATATTAGTAGTTCTAATTTGAATTTTAGTAGTTTTAATTTGGTTTTTTTGACTCTTTATATATATTTTTAGATAAAAATTTAATGTATTATATACTTGATAATTAAA